TTATAGTCTCATCTATGGTAAAGGGTGCCATCTTCTTGTAGAGTTAGAACATAGAGCTTTCTGGGCATAAAAAAAGCTCAACTTTGATATGACATTTGCTGGTTCTAATAGGAAGCTTCAACTAACTGAGCTTGAAGAATTACGTAATGAAGCTTATGAGAGTGCTAAGGTTTACAAATCAAAGACTAAGGCATTTCATGACAAGCATATCTTGCGTAAGACTTCTGAGCTTGGGAAGAAGGTTTAGTTGTTTAATTCACGATTGAAACTTTTTCATCGAAAGTTAAAGTCACGTTGGGAAGGTCCATACATGGTTATTTCTGTTACACTTTACGGTGCAATAGAGATACAAGATTATAAGACTGGACAATTATCCAAGGTCAATAGACAGAGACTTAAACCCTATATAGAAGGTAGTGTGCAGAGAGGCACAGTGCCAGTAGTAGAACTTCATGATCCAATTTACTTGGACTAGAGAGTCAGTTTATGTCGAGCTATGGATGTTAAACTTAACATGTTGTCGAGCTGTCGACGTTAAACTTAGCATTTGTATGTTGTACTGTAGTTTTGTTTCATTTTTATTTTTAGTCATTTTAGTTTGCATTTTAATTAGTTATTTTTCTAGATTTTAGTACTTTTTAGATTTAATTTTATTGGGGGAGTTACTGCGCCGCACTCCGTCCACTCTATCTACTTCTACATATACTCCTCTACCTTCTATAGATTAGCTTTCTAGGGCTTTTCTGTATGTTTGTTGACTAGGGTAGTATTTTTGGTGTATTTGTTTCCATATAATGTATATCTGCCCTAAGTCTTTATTTCAAAAGCATTGTACTAATTTCTGATATATATATATATATATATATATATATATATATATATATGTTTTTTGCTTCTATTCTCCTTGTGTTGATATTTTAGTTCATTTTGATATTTCTCTATGCTTATTCCATATACTTGATACTCTGATATGTGTTGGAGTATATTAATTTTGCCAGACACTGTAGATTAAGTTTGGGGGTGATTTGCCTAACAACACCATTGAGTGGTTTTGAGAGGAACCACTATGTTGAAGGAGACGATGATGGAAACTCATTTTTACCCGTCTATGCATTATTTTGTCATATCTTTGCTAGTCTGCTTGTATTGTAAGATCTTTCTAACTCTTGTTAGTTATCACACATTAAGGACAAAGTGCACAATAAGTTTGGGGGTAAGGTTGTGTTGGGAAATTTTCAATTTTTGGCTTATATAAGGATATAATTTGATAGTTGATAATATAAGCATGAGTTTGAGTCTGTTGATGGTCATGTAATCTGTTTGTAGTCTAATGTTGGTTAAAAATGATTTGTATGCTAAAATACTGTGAAATGGATTCCTTGACAATTTTTGAAATCAGTTGGTGGCTTATGGTCCACTTTGTTAGGATGATTATTGTTTAACGATGCTGATCTCTGAGACACTACACTTTGCACATATTCACACTTGCATGAATTCTGTGGGGTAAAACCTGGAAGTCTTGTTTTGTTTTGAGTTAGACTAAGATGAGTAGGTAAATTTGATAATTTTGATGACCAAGGCATATATATATATAAAATAAATATAAATATAAATAAAAATAAAAAAATTTGTATATATGCAATACAATAAAAAACAAATTCTTCACCAATGTGAATGAAAAAGAAAAAAAAAATTGAAAAAAAAAAAAAAAAAAAAAAAAAAGTAGAAAAGGATCAAGTTCAGGTTTGTACTTAGATTATTTGAGTGATTAAGTCCTGAGGGGTGCTTCAACACCTAACACCTTAAAACCATCTGGTCTAGGAGTAGTTGGCTGAAAGCTTGTTATGTAAGGGGTTTAAGTTGCCTAAATTACTTGAACAATTAAGTCTTGGGGAGTGCTTCAACACTTAACACCCTAAGACCATTTGGTCTGGGAGTGGTTGGCTGAAAGTTTGTTACATAGGTAATTTAGAAAACTTAATAGACCTGAACATTGCATAGTAACCTTTTTGAAAAACTACATACCTGTAGAAAAATAAGAATGCCTTGGGAGTTAAAATTTGAAAAGTTTGCCTGTGAATTGAGGAATAGTAAGGAATAAAAACAAGTACGGATAGTAAGCTGCACGTTGGATTGTAAAATCACTTAAAATAAAAAATAAAAATAAATAAATAAATAAATAAAAGGTGTTTTAGAGTCAAGATTGTTGAATGAGTGATTAAACTGATATGTGGGGACCATGATTGCTTAATTGAAATTGGAAGTTGAAAATTTTTCTGATTACATAATTGGTAAACTTGTTGTATTTGACTGATTAATGAACTGCAGAGTTGATATGATTTGAAAATAGACTTGAATGAGCTTAACGTGCAATTAAGGCATTACTTTCAGAAGTTTATGGGTATCTTCACTGGAAACCCTCACGAGACTACAACTCGTCCACTAGGGGTAACCTAGGGGTTGAAAGGCTTGTTACATAGGCTAAATGCAACCGTGATTCCCACGAAAGTGGCTTTTTAGTTCTGTATTGCTAAGGGACTAGAACATGTAAGTTTGGGGGTGTGATGAGCGCTGAATATATGCATATTTGAGCCCCTAAATATACGTATGATGAGGCCTAAAGTGATACTTCTATCCATAGTTAGATTGATTTATGTTTAATGTGTGTTTACAGGTATTTTCCTAGAGAAATGATTAAAACCGGGACTTTATGATGATATCGAAGCTTATAGAGTCGTTGTCGGTCATTCAAAGCGAGCCGAGAGCTTAAATGGTGAAGTTTGAAGAAATTCAAGCCCTAGAGCTCGAGCCCAAGTGCTGATGCTCGAGCATCACAACAAAGAAAAGAAGAAAAGTCAAAAAGGCATTGAAGCTCGAGCTTTGTACCTTGGTGCTCGAGCCCCAACTTAGGGTGCTCGAGCCTTACCTAAAGTTACTTGAGCCTTGACCCTCAAGCTCGAGCATGAGGCGTCAGAAGTTGAAGAGTTGATTTTAATTAAAAGGCTATGCTCCCAGGTCTCGTGCCTCACCTTTAGGATCGAGCACTATCCATTGAAGCTCGAGCCTTGAGTCCCAAATGCTCGAGCCTAGTACCTAGTGCTCGAGCCCATAAAGCTTAGATTGAGCAATTTTAAAAGATTTGAATCCCAAAAATATTCTAAAAGACGCTTTAGAAAATAGTTAAAGAAAATTAGCTAAGTGTCAAAGTGAAGATTGAGCACTAATTCTTGAAGCTCGGCATCAATCCAAAGAAGCTCGAGCCTTATTCCTTAAGCTCGAGCCTTGAACCTTAAAACTCGAGCCTTTGTTCCTAAAGCTCGAGCCTTCTATAACATGTCTGAATTAAAGTACGGGATTGCTTTCTTTACTAGCCCTATCTCATTCCAAATTGGCCAGAAGACCTAAAAGCCCACCAAATCCTTATTTTCTTCTATAAAAGAAGGCATAAGCCTTGATAGAAGAGGTCCGAACTTTCAGGTTCTTTTTACCGTGTTATTCAAAAGGCTGATAGTGTGGTGGATTTTAAGGTTCTTATAACCATGAAAGTGAAGATCCTGAGAATAGAAGTGTCGTCCGTGATGATAGAGACAACTCTAACACAGATGATATTCGACATCGTCATGAGTGGCTAATTCCTCTCTTAGGGCACTGATGTAACCCAATCTGATATTATGGTTTGATTGTTTTAACTCTGGGATTATTTTAATATATGATGTTTTCTTGGTTATATGACTATAAGCAATTGAGAGAACTCAATTAGTTTCATTATTTAGTAGATTATAAACTATTATTACCTTGTCTTAGATGTAATGGTTTATTTTCTATTCTCAACCTATCTTATTGGACAGTATCTGGTAGAGCCTTGCCGGACATGAGAATAGAGGTTATATAATGGTGTTCCAATGTTTTTTTAATAAATAGTGTTTTCATAATCTATGCTTAAGAAAGGTGAATTGTTTGTAAAATAGTTAAAGTAGTTAGAGTAGATAAGTGGATAGTCCATACTAACCGCATATAGGTTATAGTGAGCTGAATTTTGTAAAACATCTTTCTTTAAGACCCCCGAATTGAACGAATGTTATTGAGTTCAATTCATTTGGAAAATATAATTGTTAAATTCCCAGAGTTGGAACAATTAACCATAATATTATGGTTATGGTGAAGTTAAAGCCCTAATATCTCTCTCTCTCTCTGATCATCTAATCTAGTTTAATTTAGTTTAGTTTAATATTTTGTTTTAATTTAAGTTTGTTTAATCGTGACAACCAATAAACTTTCCAACCAAGTTACCTGTAAACCATAAAACTAAATTAAAAACTGAATACCAATCTCATCTCCCTATGGGTTCGACATCCTCTTTACGTAGTACTATCCTACACAGAATCATTCTATTGCGAGTGATAAAATTAGACACGATCAAGGGTGTCAAACCGAAAGGACTGTGGTAGTTTATCGAGTCTTTAATTAATCACTATTTTAATTTAGAAAGATGATTTAATTTATTGTGGTGCAATAACATAAACAAAAAATAAATAAAATAAAGGGATTGAGATCAAGAGAAGAAATACTTGGGGACTGACTTCACCACGAACCTCATACTATGGTTAACTGTTCAACTTGGGATTTCAATAATTATATATCATATGGAATTAAACTCAATAACATTCATGGCATTCGGATTTAAAGAAAGATATTTCATGAATTTCAATTAATAATACCCTGTCTTCGATTGGCACGAATTATCTACCTACCTACTTCTAACTAATTTTACAATATAATTCGTCTTCCCTAGGCATAAACTATGAAAACATTCATTCATGAAAAACGTTTGAACACCATTGCATGATCTCCATTTTTATGTTCGACAGGGCTCCGTTATATATCGTTTAATAAGAATGTGTTGAATATAATTTAAGAATAATTAAATCTAAGACAAGGTATTAATCATTCAAAAACTATGTAATCATCAAAATCCAATTAAATTAAGTCAATTACCTAAATTCATGTAATCAAAATACATAATATATTAAATTCCCAAAGTACAGAACAATCAAACCATAGTTTTCGAATTCAAGCTACATCAATGCCCTAAGAGAGGAATTAGCTACTCATGACGGCGCAAGATATCATCTGTGTTGTTGTGGTCTTCATCGCCATAGACCGCCAAAACTCCTTTTGGATCTTTTTCTTCAAAACCCTAAAAGCCGCCGTGAGAAAGAGATATAAGAGAGAGAAAATATGATGGCCTTGTGCCTCTTTTTATAGACAAATTAACTTCTAATAAGGGTTGGATGGGCTTTTAGGTCTTCTGGGTAATCTGGGCCCATCTGGGATGAATTATAACTAAATTAGAACAAATCCCGCAACTTGAAAATTCTTACTTAACAGCAAAGCTTGAGCTTTGGGTACAAGGCTCGAGCTTTTTGTACCTAAGGTTCGAGCTTTAGGTACAAGGCTCGAGCTTTTGGTACAGGGCTCAAGTTTTCAGGAATGATGCTCAATCCCTACTTTTATACTTAGTCAAATTTCTTCCAATATTTTTCGAAGCGTCTTTTCCGTTAACACTTCGAACAATTTTGGGTTTTTCCTTTTAATAGTACTCGATCCCCTTTCATGGTGCTCGATCCTTGATTTTTGGGTCCAGGCTTGAGCCTTTAGTACCTAAGGCTCAAGCTTTTGGTATAGGCTCGAGCTTTCAAAAACATACCTCGAGCCTAAGCAATTTTGACCCATTTAGAGTGCGAATTTGGAGCTGGCTATTAGAGACAAAAACATCGGGCTTCGAGTCTTCTTTCTAAAGCGCCAAAGTTTGCTCAATTTGGAGTTTCAAGTGAAAAGTTATACCCAAAATACTGAAGCAGGTCCAGAATTCTCATCATTTTTACTCCAAGTTTGCTTTAGATGATTGGCACGGCTCTGTAAGCTTTAATATCAGTCTTTTCATTATAAAATCATGGTTTTAACTTATTCTTTGGGAAAGTACCTATAAACACGAAATAAACATAAATCAATCTAAAATTGGATAGAAGTATCATTTTAGGTCGTAACATATGTATATTTAGGAGCTCGAATATGCAATATTCAGCAATCATCATATACTAACCCACAAATCCTAACCTAAGTCTAATAATAACAATAATAATAACAACAACAACAACAATAATAACTCCCCAAACGTATTATTTTACCAAAATAATATCCACATGATATATGCATATATATGTATATATATATATTAATATATACACCTTCCCATGTGCCATAATTCTAAATAACTTACCTAGCCCTTCTCCAATTAGCCCAAACGCGTTCCTTTGGGTTAAATAACTCCAAGCCCAAATCATGATTAATTAAAATAAAATAAACCAATTAATTAAACAAGCAAATTGCACATAAACAAATAATGACAAGTAAAGCAAATTAAATAATTTAAAATAATCTAATTAAACAATTTAAATCAAATACCCACTTAATCATTTAATAAGAATAATTAGCCAAATAAAATAATTAAAATACAATTAAAATAATAAATTAAATGCTCTAAAAATTAGGGGTATTACAAGCACCAACAATGTTTCTACAGCCTTATAATCACTATATAATCTTGCACAAATGAAAGACAACAATAATAGCAAGATATATTACAGTCAATACACAATAAGGTCTGTTCCTACAATTTCAATGGTCTCAAGGGTAAAACTGGAATTTCGTGTCAATCCAAACTTAAACTTGGTTTTCCCAGCTTTATATAAACCATATACATATGCTTAGATGAAGATCACAATGAAAGAATCATGGTATAGCATTGACAGTACTCAATAGGCCTTGATTCAGCTGAATCCCTAACTCAGGAGGTTCAAAACCTGTTATGGTCACTTTTCTGGCCAAGTCTCAACTTGACTAGCCTTAAGTCATCAATACAATCATGCTTAAATGATATACAATCAGTACATAGCAAGATATCAACTAGATAGGCTTAGATCATAAGCAAATGCACCATAAATTTCATAATCAATTAGGTTTGAGATATGAAAATATGTTGTAGCTATAAAATGAACATTAGCATAGTTTCTGCAGCTATAAATAGATGAAATGTAACGCCCCAAATTTTCTAAATAAATTTCTCGATTTATTCAAATCAAAATTCATCAATATTACACCCAAGATCTCAATTTAATATAAAATATCCTTTATTGATACAGAATCAATTTCCTCAAATAAAAATATACAAAATTCTCTAAATAATTAATTTAATCCTCAACACCAACTCTTCCACTTAAGCTCGATACTTGAAACTGTAGGGGGTGAGACGAGGAAAGTCCCAGTAGAAAAACCATAACAAGAAATTTAAAGGGGTTTCATGAAAATCAGTGTCACAATATATATATATATATATATATATATATATATATATATGTTTTTAAACAAAATACATATATGCAGTTTTAACAAGATAGCATTAACAAAATATTTGAGATAAAACTCACCCCAAACGATTCAAGGTATGAAAATCCCTACTCTTGAAAATAATTGTATCATTGGAACATCAAGCTCCTAAGTCCTCTGCAACTCTCGGACCACACTGTCTGTCATCTCGACTCTCACTCAATGTTTCCTCTATTTTTATCCATATGTGAGTCATACTCATCAAGTTAGAGACACTCAATATAAAGGCAAATTTGACCGACACAATTATCAATCAACAAATAGAAAAATCAAGGTCAAAAGAATTGCCCAACAAGTCATCCAAGTGGGACCCTCAAACAACCAATTATTTCTCCTGTGTCGGCTGATTCATTTCCCCTAGCAGATACAACATATATGCACACATAAAAATCAAAACCATTTTGCTTCTCTCTCTCTTTAATGTAGGCTCTCTCTCTCACTCTCATAGAGTACAAGTATATATATATATAAATCATATATTATATACACAGCAACAAAAATCACCCCAACTTACTAAATTCTTGTGGGACCCGCCAATAAACCATTTCAATTTTTACTTTTCCATTCCCCCAATTCGACACCACTTTCCTGCTCACTTTCTCTTAATATATGTATATATATATATATATATATATATACAAAGTGTATCATTTTCAAGCCTATTAAATCAATACTAGTGGGACCCGCGAACTACTATCATCAAATTCATTCATCACATTTCCTTATCTAAAATCACACAATCAACTCACTCTTTCAAATCACGTGAATAGCCTAGATCCAGCAAACTTTGGCAACAAAATTTCTTATATATATATATATATATATATATATAGTAACAAAACCAAATTTACCCCATCTTTAGAATTCAAGCGGGACCCCCCGAAATATCACAATTTCATCTTCAACAGATACAAAAAATATACATTGCTACACATTAAGCATCCAACAATGAAACCCACTAATTTAGTGAATAAAAATAAATAAATCCACTAAGAACAATCAGGACACAAAATAATAATAATAATAACCAAAGTTTAATTCTCGTAAACTCTCCAATTAAATAATCAATCTTCAATTGCTAAGTCTCCAATCATAATTAAATATTTAATTATGATAACTAAAAATCATGAAACAAAATACTTATATTGAACTCTTAAAAATCCGGGTTGTCACATGAAATATACTTTCCTTAACCTCTATAGTTCCCAAAAATGGTCTCAAGCTTGAATGAATCCTTTAACGAGCCTTTTGCACCAGAAAACAGTAACATGTGGCCTTTCTTTTTCATCTACATATTTGTGTGTTCACAATATAGAAATCTGAGGTGAAATGAAGCTCAAGAATGAATTTAAACTCTCTGAAATCCTTATCTTTTTCTCTCGAGACACACACAATGCACACACTTTGGAGGCTCACAATTCACACATTAGGTTCACACAAAGTTGTTACTATAATAGTATATATATAGTGGTTCACTGAGCTATAGTCCTACCCTAATGAGGGAATCCACCTGGCACTATCAACCAATCATTCGCAAGGATATTTTCTGACATTCTCTGTGTGAAAGGACCAGAATGCCCTTGCCACCTTTGCAATGTTGTCCTCTAGTTCACCAACAAATGACAACAAATGTGTGTATATATATCAGCAATATAATTCATACTTGGTCACTAAGAAATGTATCACATTCCTCATTCACTCTTACTAGGATCACAGAGCCATATGCCAACATTTTGTAGCTACACAAAGAATTACAATAAAGCCCCTACATTAGTTATTTGACAAACTAATAAAAGGATGTTGCTCTAGCATTTGAAGTAACATATGATTGGACTGTCACATTGAGAACTTGAGCTTAAATGAATAATGTAGCTTCTCAGGCATGTGTAATATGAACACATACACATGTATAATGATTGAAATGCCCCTAATGTGATTGTGATCAAAATGAAACCTGCTGAGCCATAATTGAACTAGAAATTAAGTTGTAATAGCTTGAATAATTTCCAGGTACAATGTGCCTTCATTAATGGCTTTGAAACAACCTGATATACTCTAGAAAATACCAAACTGCCCTTGTTCACACCAAAAGTGATGAATGTAGATTTAAACCAGAAAGATTGTGATGACCCTGGTTTTTTAGGCCAGCGTGTTCTGTGATGAACCGAAGATTAACCCGATAACGGATCCGAATGCAGAAGCGAAAACAAAAAACAAGACTCTAAGAAGTCAAAGTGACCTTCCCATGAGGTCGTGGAACTCAACAAGAACTGATACGGAAGCAAAAGATCGAAAACATGACAAATAAGCCCCCAGGGGCAAAATAGTCATTTCTGAAAATAGTAGATTCGGGTGCCACCAAGCACACCGCTAGAAGGACAACGAAAAACTAATCAAGATGGACTCAAGAATCGCATGATTCGGAGTCCGGACGAAGGAGAAATGGCATGACGAAGAAAAACGAGCAATTAAGGCAAAAAGGGTAAACTGGTAATTATCCAGGAAGAAACAGGTGCAACCGAGCACAACGTTGGAAAGACAGCAAAAAATTAGTCAAGTTTAAAAAAAAATTCACTTGAATCGGAGTCCGGACGAAGGAGAAACGCCCAAAAGAAGAAATGATGTCGTGGTGGCCCGACAAGGGGGCCATGACAGCCCCCCATGCGCGCCTATGCGCGCACCCATGCACGCCGCGCGCGCGCTGGGTGCACCATGGCTGGCAGCAGCAGCCCAAAAGCTGCTATGGGGTTATTTTCCAGAAAAATCCAGATCAGAGGCTGAATTTGGAGGCCTAGATGAATTTTTTTGCAAAAACACAAAGAAGAAATCCCGATCAAAATCGAGTTTTCTACATGACTCGCAAGGAAAATCGAAAAAAACTCACTGTGAAATGCCCAAAATGCACTCCCAAGAAAACTGGTCCAGAGGGTCCAAAAAGCTGCTAAATTTAAAAACTGAGAGCTGAACTTCGGATGCGATTTTCAATACCAAGATGACATTTTCTGGAAAAACACAAAAAAGAAACCCCCCCAAAAATCATGTTTTCTATTCAACCATATTGAAAGAAGAAAATAAAACCACCGTGGAAGGTCCATAATGCCCCTAGATCAGAATATACAAAAAAAATGCGAAATGAATTCACAAGAGGCTCAAAACACAAACGATAAGGTTTTGTCCGGAAACGACCATGCACGCAAACGTAACTTATCTATTTGGACGTGCTACAATGATCCACGACTTAAAAATACCACCGATACAAAATCCGACCCCCCAATGGGCAAAAAGGCAAAAATGAAACTTGGAATGAAAACTCGGAATCCAAAAATACAAAACGGGATCAAATGACCATCTGGTCCATGGCCACACTTCAAACATAATTAATAAGACCCTATCAAAGAATGAAAATGGAATTCCCATACCCGATGCAACCATGGTGAAGCAATGACTTGCGATTTTTCAAAGTTTTCATAATATTTCACGAAGTTAAAAAGTTGTATAGAATACAATACACATGTCATTAGCCTCCGGCCTCATCTCATACATGTCAAATGCATTGAAAGGAGTGCACTTTTGTACACATTACATACATGGAATCAAATATACCTATTTTGACATATAAGTCTACAAAATGACATTTCATGCTAACATTTGCATGAAATGGAAACTTGAAAGCTACACGACATCCAAGGAATGCTAGGCGTCACGAACTAAGTCTTCGTACCTAAAATATGCCCCAGTAATGTAGGAGTGAGTAACATAAAGCTACTCGTAGGAGATGAGCATGCATCGACCTAACATTTTACAAATTTATTACCTTAAGGTGAAACATATTAAAGGGGTTTATGCCACCTAACGTCGATATCAAAATGAGACTCAGGAAGCATCCTAAGCTACTTTAGAGTGTTTCTAGCATAAATGACATCATCTATGCAATTTAAACAATATGGAAGCACGTTATACAAAGTAACAAGATATAGGTTCTTAAAGGTATTAACTTGCAATCTCGAATACAGAAACAACTAAAGCGATCATGTCACCAAACGTCTATATTCTAAATAAGTCTAAGGAATCATCCTAGGCCATGCTGAACAATCAAAACGCAATTTACAACTTCAATGCAATCTAACCACATAAAAGCATATTATACAAGGCAACAAAATACAATTTCTTAAAGCTATCAGCTTGAAATCTAAAGCACAAAAACAACAGAAGTGGGTCATGCCACCTAATGTCTAAGTTATAAATGAATTAATAGGATCAATCCTAAGCTTTATTAAAACGTCAAAACACGATTTTCAATATCGATGCAATTTAACCAACATTGGAACTTCCAATACAACGCATAAAGCACAATTTCGCAAAGTTAACATCCTGTAACTTAAAATGGAACGACAATTAAGAAATAACAAATTACAACATCATCTAGTTATCAACTTGAAAATGAAATGCGAAATCAAACAAAGTGGATACTCGGACGTCACGCCGGATCAGACCGACAACATAGTTACTTTAGGGTTACTAGCCCATGGGTAACCTCCCTATGTGCGCACTAGACCATATAGAAGGACTATCCCCCGTACTTGAACCACGTCCTAACCATAGTCAAACAATGACATCCCCAAGTTTCCAAAATTAACAAGTTGTGCAACAACGCATATATCAACAGGAATATGCAAGATAATCAACTATTTACTAAGCACAACCAAATTTGGAAACCTATACAATACATGCTCTAAATCCACAACTAATATGATATGATGAATGTCAAATCTTCAGTGTGCGATTCATTACACGCTATGCATGAAAGATGTTAAATACGAAGTGTGCAAATCATTACACAAGGCAACAATATATTCAATAAGGAAAACATATTCTTATGAATACAAACATAATAAATATATAACAAGTCTAAGTCCATGATTTGAATATAGAAACCACTTCTAAAACACAACTAGATCATGGAGCAAATTGATAGAATTTAAACAGATAAACATAATTAAATTCTATAGATTCCGATTCAATTTCAATTAACCTCAATTTAACACATGTTAAAGGACATGGCAAGGTCATCACCTATATCCATTCTAAAACTTAATTAGGTTGTTAGAACAACAAAGTAGAACTTTAATTAAATCATGCTAATTTAAATCCCAAGATTCTAAAACAATTTCAAATAGTCCCAAATTAATATATACTAGTAAACAAGTCATGGCCA